GCTACAGTAGAACCTCGATTATCCGCCCCCCCGATCAACCGACCCCTCGGTTAACCGACCGTCCTAGTCGGCAAATTTCAAATGTCCGCTAGTGATGTGGCGCTACAATATTTGGCTATGTCTTGGCTACTTTAATATTATTTTTAAGTGTTTTAGCTGGCAACACTCATTTGACCATGAAAGGGAGCCAGTATTTAAACGAAGCTTAATTTTCTAATTTTTAACGATACAATAGCGACGATTATTATTTTAAAAAATTTTTGTTAGGCTTAACATTGATGAAAATTCAACGCAAAATAGGTTAATAGCGATATACTAATATACTAATTACATGGGATATAATAATATACTACACTAATAATGGATTTTTTCATACTTTTCGGTTATCCGACTTTTCAATTATCCGACCAACCCCAGTCCCCAATTAATCGAGGTTCTACTGTACAATTGGTTTTTCAATCAATATTTAGGTCTCAGCAGAAAGAAAATTAAATACGTAGTTTTTAATATCACTGATATAGTTTTAATATGGCCCTTGGGGGATCGCCAGAATTTTTTTAACTTGTAAAGGGGTCGCGTATTCAAGAAGGTTGAAAAACACTGATCTATATAATAATTTCCCTAATTGTATTAATATTTTAAACCGTTTGATTTTTTGTATGTTTTTTAATTGGTCAATGATTGATTCCATCAAGTAATTTGTTGATTGTATTAACTTGATTCTTTAGATATCTAAAATTAAATAAAGAACATTATGTTAATTTAAGCGTACAGAAACATTGCTGTTGTTCCAGCAAAGATCTTATTTTCACTTTACCAAGTGCCTAGTAGGTAATTTACAGATTACCTACATAATCTGCACTTTACCTAGGTAATTTGAGAAATAGAACAATGTTAGAAACTTTAACGGATCACCCTAGTTAATCTGCATATTAGCTAGATAATGTACACATTAACGACTTTCGAGCTTTAGCGGTAACATATATATAAAGTAATTCCATAGATAGAGTCAGGCAAATAACTAAAAACTTAAAGCCAAACTCAGAGAATTTTAACTACAAGCTATAACAGTAATTAAAAACACATTAATTAAAGTCATTTCTAATTTATGTTTATTATTTAAACTAGTTTCCAAATATAATGACTTAATATGACTTTGGAGGAAAACACAAATGCTACAAATTTTAGAAATAAAAACTTCTTTATTGAATTAAACATTTCTCAGCACTGCTGCAACCCATCATCAGACCTAAATACTATATTCAGAAAACAGAAATTCGAATGAGAACATCCAATATTTTCTGTTGAGCATTTTAGAAAGTTTGAATGCATTGACAGATTTTTAAAAATAGAACAAACTTTTTTTTTTTGTTGAAACAAAACAGTTACGTGTAAAGTTAATGATTTTCAACACGTAAACATCAAATTTATAAACTAAAAAATAAAAATAGAACAGAACTTTTTTAAACTGTCCATTCATTCATAACTTCCTACAACATTCAACAAAAAATTGATGTTCTCATTTTAAGTTCTATTTTTCAAATATTTGGCTCTGATGGACTGGAGGAGTCCCAAAACAGAAGCTTTCACTCCTAAAATCTGTAGCATTTGTGTTTTCCCTTTAATGTTTAAAATTTATCTTTGCTGAAAAATTAAAAGTTTATTTCAAGCCAATATCATAAAGAATATAAAACATAGAATATTCAAAAGAAAATTATAATACTTATATTAACTCTTTCAATATTTCAATTATATTTTAATTGAATATTAAATAAAAACAGTCAGTGCAGTAAAACTTGAATCTTAAATATTTTTATGCAACATAAAAAGTAAATGATAATTACAAAATGAAATACTGTCTACTTTAAATATAAGTAGAATCCATTTACTGTAAACACCAAAGAAACCAAAACTCCAGTAAAACAGGCGAGAATTTAATGAATAAACAAACATTTTCAAACAGACAAATTCATTTACCGTAACGCTTTAAAATGTATCTAAAAACAACAATAACCGACCGACGACATTACGCAGAGTAAGTAAGATCTCGACTAATCAAATTCCATTATTAAAAAGACACGTTAAAACAATTAAAAATCGCATAACCGGTAGATCTACTAATTATTATTATTATTATTAATTAATAGCAATTCATCATCCGGCATATAACCGAAATAAATGCTAGCAATCGAAACTATGGTATTGCCAGCAAATAACAAAACAATTACCATCGTAAGCACCGAAAACAATCGCTCGTCATCGTCCGCAAAATTCTACGAGCGTATATTTAAGTTTTACGTTTCGAGACCCGCTAACTCCGACAACATTACACAAGCAACGACGATAAGCAGAATCTAACAAACGAAAAATATTTATATAATGCACAAGAACAGGGTAAGATTCTAGCTGCGAAGGAACCGTGTCGCCACTACTTCATTCAGAGCTAGAAACTTACCTAAATAATAAAGTAAATGATCTTATACTTGTAATAAATTAATACACAGTAGTACTGCAAACTTACTGATGCACTTTATATCTAATCTGTTTGGTTTATTTTGAAAGAATTTAGTACTATTAAAAATATTATGGGATCAAATCTGCAAATAATAAACCATTGTTGGTTCATTATTTGCAAATTACAGGTGAAAAAATGTTAAGCTTGCTTGTAGATCAGTGTAGAAAAACACAAAACCGGTGTAATGAGACGGAAAAAGTTGAATATGGCTACTTACTGTTTTTCCGGCATTGTCTAATCCTAAGATGAGAATGAAATATTCGTCTTTTTGGAAAAGATATTTCCATAATCCGTATAACAAAGTGAACATTGCGAAGAAAAACAAGATGCCATGAACAGTTTAAACTGTATACAAAATATGGAGTAACCTACGATTACTGAGTATTACAAAGGACTCGGAAAGAGTTTCTCCCTTTGTTTATTACGTGAACTTTTGACCATATGCATTATTCAGTAAGTAGCCATTCACGCTTCGCATCGCCTAACCGCCAAATGATCATCGATATCGACAACATGTCGGATTACATTACAATATTTTTGAATTAATAGCCGAAAGTTTTATTTGAAACGGAAAATATATGATTAATTTATAAAATATATAATAAATTATAACACACGTTAAACTTTCTCAATTTAAATTTTATATTTACGAAAAGACACGATTCGACACGTCATAGCTTTCGTTGTNGGTAAGAACACTTTTTCTTCTAAGGTTGAAAGTTCATTGTGATCCAAATTGACGATGTGAGGTTTCAAACCTTGAAAAGCTGTAGGCGATATGGAAGAAATTTCGTTAAACGAAAGATCAATCTGAAAAAATTAAGATAAATGTTTTAAATTTATCCATATTATAATTTTAAAACCGCCGATCATTCGACTTACTTCTAATCTCGGATGGTTTTCTTCGGATGCCATCGAGCGATCGTTTAATGATTTTATTTCATTGCCACTAAGATCTAACAGCTGCAACGAAGGCATGTTTAAAAATGCTTCTTGGCCAATATTAATTATATTATTTTCGATTAGAATTATTTTCTTCAAGGATTTGTTATTGGAGAAACATCCTTTTGGAAGATAACGCAATCGGTTCTGGCCTAAATTTAGAATTCTTAACCTTGAAAACTTTCCGATATCTTCGAAAGGGAAGCTTTCGATCTGGTTCGAGTAGAGACTAATAGTATCGACTATTTCCATTGAGTAATTGAAGGCACCGGATTCAATTTCGCGAATGAAATTCATGTCGAGATAGAAGTTTTGAGCTTCTACTTTCCGAAATACATCGCTTGCCAATTTTCTTATAGAGGTTCCTTGAATCCAGACATTGCGAACTTCGAATGGAGAAATTTTTTCGAAAGCCGAATCAAGTTCTGAATAATTTTTTATTTTTCTACAGTTAATTCCCTCCCGATCGCAAGTACAGGGAGTAATTTCTCTACTAGGACATTCTTGACAGGAAACAACAGAAAAAATTAGAATTAAAACGAAATATTTACCTGAAAAAATTGAGGTGTTGTTTTTAGAATATTTATTACGTATGAGTAATAATAATAAAGTAGTTTTAAAATTAATTTTAATCAAGAGTTTCAACAGGAGGATTCGCGTTCAAACTGAATCCTCAAGGATGACGCTTAGTTTCCCATTAATATTTACATAGAAATTTATACGCAGTAAAAAACGAAAATTTTTAGAAGAAAGAACAGTTCTAGAAATAAATTTAGAGTAATTAATTGTTAGGTCTCTAAGCATTATTATTATTTTTTTAAAATTACACTTAATACGAGTTAAACAATTAACAATCTCCAGTGATAAAATTTTTAGCAAAACTTAAATTTTAATATGCTTTTAAGCGCGCTTCACGGTAGTGGAGTGCTTATGTTAGGACTTTTGTCCGTCTGTCAGATTTCCATGCTCATACGCAATGACTTCACTTTCGTTACCTAATTATTTATTTAAATTTTTATCCGGACGGACCACCCCGAAAAATTCCTGGGGATTTTTCGACCCGTCCAGATTCGATCCCGCGTCTCCAGAGCGGTAAGCTGCTACCGCGATTGCTCGGTCGTCCGGTCTCTCAATCATACCTATTGTGGGTTAGGTTACAATGGAGGTTGCTCCCACAATGGAGCATGGCTTAACCACCGAATATTGCGGGAGGGGGTCCGATATATCCGGCATAGACTGCTTGAACCCGGATTCGTTTTCGGATGCCTCGAAGTGATAGGCTGATGCCTTAACCGTTCGAATTGCATTGATGGCGTACGGCAACGCAATCACGGAGGAGCGTGTCTCCCGAACGGCCTTTCTATGGGAAATTGGTCCTTATTTAAATGTTAGGCACGCAAAAAAAATGCGGAAAACTCCACGTGGTCAGTAGCTTCGGTGAGGCGCGAATGCGAGACTAACTATCAGCATTCAGTGGTTATATCCACTCGGCCATTCGTCCCATATGACATTAATAGTAACGACCAGTGGCGAAATCAATTATGAAATGGATAGACTGAAATGCTAGACAATGTAGGTTAAAACGTCAATTAAAGCATTTAGAGAGAAACTTATCGTAAAATCATCTCAATCCGTTAACTTACGCCCTCTACCCATAAAAGTATTAACTATCGACTCTAGTATAATAATTTGCACCTTACCTGGTGCAACTTTTATTGAATAGAAGATCATTTGTTTTCTTTCTTTCTTCCGTCAGACTAGCAAAAACCCAACAACGATTTACGTAACTTTTCCGGCTATTATGAGTTTTTATTAAAAAAGTAACTTTTATATTATTGTGCAAAATAAATAAAATTGTGTGTGGCGCCATCTGTTACGAGATTTTGTTATAAAAAGATTTTATAATAAAATCTTACTATAAAATGACAATATTTTTTAACGCGATCTATGGAGAGTCGCACGCGCCATTTACACGTTCTACGATTACTGCGCATCTTCGACAGACGAATAGACACAGTTTTTTTTTAAATAATTAATAAAAACGATTATATATAAATTGAAAATAAAGCTTTTATTAATATTTTTACTACACATTATTGTTTGGCACATACCACAAAATAGAAATTTTTTTAACAATCAATATTAATTCGATTTAAATCGGATAAAGATCTTCCATCTTGGCATCGAAAATTTTGCATCATTAAAGATAAAATATCTTTTAACTTCACAAGCCATAAATATGAGCACCCGCTGCACGAAAATGAATTCTCTGTAACACGTAAGAAAAGAATTATAGAAATTATCGATAAAATTACAGTATTTAAGAAACACAGTAAAACCCGGATAAACCGGTCTATAAAACATTATTTACTTCTGAAACTGATAAAACTGCTCCTTTCATCCGAAAGACCCTTAAACAAAGGTAAGAACACTTTTTCTTCTAAGGTTGAAAGTTCATTGTGATCCAAATTGACGATGTGAGGTTTCAAACCTTGAAAAGCTGTAGGCGATATGGAAGAAATTTCGTTAAACGAAAGATCAATCTGAAAAAATTAAGATAAATGTTTTAAATTTATCCATATTATAATTTTAAAACCGCCGATCATTCGACTTACTTCTAATCTCGGATGGTTTTCTTCGGATGCCATCGAGCGATCGTTTAATGATTTTATTTCATTGCCACTAAGATCTAACAGCTGCAACGAAGGCATGTTTAAAAATGCTTCTTGGCCAATATTAATTATATTATTTTCGATTAGAATTATTTTCTTCAGGGATTTGTTATTGGAGAAACATCCTTTTGGAAGATAACGCAATCGGTTCTGGCCTAAATTTAGAATTCTTAACCTTGAAAACTTTCCGATATCTTCGAAAGGGAAGCTTTCGATCTGGTTCGAGTAGAGACTAATAGTATCGACTATTTCCATTGAGTAATTGAAGGCACCGGATTCAATTTCGCGAATGAAATTCATGTCGAGATAGAAGTTTTGAGCTTCTACTTTCCGAAATACATCGCTTGCCAATTTTCTTATAGAGGTTCCTTGAATCCAGACATTGCGAACTTCGAATGGAGAAATTTTTTCGAAAGCCGAATCAAGTTCTGAATAATTTTTTATTTTTCTACAGTTAATTCCCTCCCGATCGCAAGTACAGGGAGTAATTTCTCTACTAGGACATTCTTGACAGGAAACAACAGAAAAAATTAGAATTAAAACGAAATATTTACCTGAAAAAATTATGAGGTGTTGTTTTTAGAATATTTATTACGTATGAGTAATAATAATAAAGTAGTTTTAAAATTAATTTTAATCAAGAGTTTCAACAGGAGGATTCGCGTTCAAACTGAATCCTCAAGGATGACGCTTAGTTTCCCATTAATATTTACATAGAAATTTATACGCAGTAAAAAACGAAAATTTTTAGAAGAAAGAACAGTTCTAGAAATAAATTTAGAGTAATTAATTGTTACTTACCCATTTCTAATTCAAATTGTTTTAAGATAAGTCAATCATTCAGCCTGCTTGTTCTCAGGAGAACGAACAGTTGATATAAATTAATTGATAACTTTGACGAAATTTAAATACAAATGGTTAGATTATCTAATCGTTGGCCTTTTATTGATAATTAAGACAAATTCCAGCAACGAGTTGCGTAACTTTTCCGGCGAAAAACAATAACACATATTAACACAAAATTAAAATTCTGTGCTAATACGTCTTAATCTTAATATACTTAATATATCTTACTTGTTAGTATTTTTCACAGAGGCCGGACGGCCCAGCGGTCAAGGCGACAGCCTACCGCTATGGGGGACGTCGGTTCGAAACTTGGACTGGTCGATAAAACATCAGGAATTTTTTTGGTCCCGTCTCTCACCGCTCGGCCGCCCAATTGTGGGCCTGGCCAAACCCATAATGGAACTTGCTAAAAGAGCCCACAGGGCAGAAAGAATTTAAAAAAATGTATTTCCCTCTGGTATGTTAAAAAATAACTTTTATATTATTAATTATTATAAATTGCAAAAAGCTTAATTTTGCTAAATTGTAAACGCTAATAACAAGTAATATCTTCATTAAGTCCGACCCCAGTCGAGATATGACACATGTCAAGGAAAGAAGCTATCTCCCCATCTCCTCGACCTTTTAACCCAAAATTTAATAGCATCGATGTCCCTTATATACCAGCTATTGTGCCAAATTTCGTTTCTTTATCATTACGTCGTTAAACGACACACACACTACCAAATTTTTTGACTTTTTTGGGTTCGGGAGGTCTCGAAACATAAAGATATTCAAAAAACCTGGAGGGTCAATTTGACACAATTCCAATACTTTCGGGTGTTATACATTACAAACCGGAAAAATAAAATGAAAAGGATACGATATAACATTTACCATCTGTTGATAAGAGTGATCAATGCATAAACTAATGTTGTACTCTTTTACTTTTTTCCTTCTAATATTAACGTTTCATTTCCACAATATTTGCATATATTCACATATATTATTTAAATAAAAGAAAATGTAAAATTTTATTGTAAAATTTGATATTTTCTATTCTTCAGAATGCATATATTTTTAATCACGCGCCTGTGTTTACGAACAGTGTTAAGACATAAAACCTTAATTCGTATGAAATAAGGAAAAGTAAAGAATTTTATTATTATTATTATTATTAAGCGAAATGAATAAAATATAATAATTAAATTTCATGAAAAAATCTGTCAAAAATGTTTATTATGATTCATAATAATACATTCGATTTTAATTGCACCAAATATTTTGTCTGGTCAATTGATCGATATTCATTCCATTCATGCAGCGGAATCCCGGAAGACGATATTTCAATACATTTTTGTTTATTACTAACCAAAGATAATTGCATCCTTGGCACATGAATGGGTTAACTGAAAAATAAATAACAGATTTTATTATCAAAAATCAAATTTTTGAGAAATTATATTAATTACATATACTTACGAGAGACATCGATAACTCCGGCAACATTGTTAGTTTTTTGAAGTATGGGACCAAAAACTGCTTCTTCTAAATATGGCAGTCGATTCATAGCCAGATGTAAAAGTTTAGGGGCTGCTCCAGTAAAGGCTGTAGGAGAAATACTGGCTATACTGCAATTAGCCAAGTTTATCTGTAAAAATTATTTTAAGTTTGTTATTCTCACAAATTAGTTTTATATTTAGTTAATTTATTTTTTAAAACAGAAAACATTCTACACAATAACGATTTAAAAGTATACTTAATTATTGCTAAATTATTGCTATAGTAACATACGAGCGTATTTATATTAATTGGATTGGATTTGTTGACAGGAGATATCATTAAGTTGAGGAATTAGTACAGAATTTTATTTTATGGTTAATGCTAATTTAATCCTCGATGGCATCTACTATTACAGACGACAGATTTACTCGTAAAACATTGGAAGGATCTATAATACTTTTGTATTAGGACATACGTATACGTGGGCAGTTCATCTTCTGTCCGGAATTTCAGTAATGTCGATGGAACTGCATGCGCTACATGGAAACAATTTATGTTTATTTCTTTAAGTACTTCCTCTTCACCAGCGAACACATCTCCCATCAAAATAATGAGATTTTTGCCTTCAAAAAAGAAGTCTTTTGGCTAGTGTCAGAGCCACTACGTGACAAACTCTCCAACTGAGCGATTCTCCTGTTTCTCTAGGCTTTTTTCAAAAAGTAAACGGGTAACAATCGCAAAATACAAATCTGGACTGTAAGCCGGATGATCCAGAATTTTCCAACCAAGTCCATTTATCGCTTTTACCGTGCGCAAGACCGTGCACCGACACCTGTCAAATATTTTCATTTTAGGCATGGCATCGTTGCCAAAACGATGGGAGAAATGTTTTCGTGTGGAGGAAGTATAACTAAAAGAAAAAAAATTGGGACTTCGTGTCTACAGTTTTATCGCCATTACTGATATACAATACTGATTACTTGTGGTACTCCCTTTGCTTTTCATTCTTTCCTCCACGTAAGCACTAAGAGGCCATTGGAAACATTAAGGATCCCCTTTTAATGATACCCATCGTGGGTTTAGTCAGACCGCAATGGTGCGGTTAGGTGGCGAGGGATAGACCCGATATATCCGGACCTGCCGAATTCGATCCCACAGCGCTAGGCTGATTTCCTAACCGCTTCGGCCATTCGGGCGTCGCCTTTTGCTGCCTTATATTAATTAATATTAGAAAAATATAGTAGTATAAAGTCTAGACGTTTTACAGAAAATATATCCAGAAAGAAAATGAAAATTCTCATTAGTACTGGACAATAAAAGCAAAATAATCTTTAAAACATGTAACTTTCTTTTAAAATGACAATAATGACTGGCTCGCTTTCAATCTAACATATCATATCTAACACATTCAATCAACATGGATTTAACACTTACCTGCAAAAATGGATTATGTTTCGTCATTGCGAATGACATTGGTCCTAAGATGTTTATTCTGTTGTGCAAAAGATCGATTTGCTGCAAATTGGGGCAATCATTAAACGCATTCATTCCAACAAAACGGATCCTATTTTCTGCTAAAATGATAGATGTTAGACGCTGCATTCCCCGGAAAGCATCTTGCGGAATTTCGTCGAGATTGTTTCTAGCGATATTGATTGTAGCCAGAAACTGTAATTTTTTGAAATCTTCGAACGGAACGGTGGTCAAAACGTTGCCAAAAAGACTGATAGATCGTACTGATAGTTCGGATCCATTAAATGCATTCGGGCTGACTTTGTTAATACGATTAACTTCTAAATGGAAAGCTTGTACTTCGATGCCTTTAAACATATAAGAGGGAACCTGCGACATATCGGTTATTTGGATCCAAACTCCTCTGAAGGCCCAGGGTTTAGGAATAGAACGGAATACTTTCTGCAATTCTGCATCATCTTTGGCTTTCATGCAATTAATACCTTCTCCGTCACAGTCGCAAGGTGCTATTACCGATGAAGGTGGGCATAATTCGTCATCGTCACCAACACAAAGATGGAAGGCTAACAGTAATCCAAAGATGAACAAAAAGCCTGAAAATAAAATAAAATTCTTCATCCTATTTTTTCACATTTCTTTATTAATGTTTTCTCAAATTTACATAAGAATAAATTATTTTGAATTATCATTCATTGTAAATATCTTATCTTTGCATTTAGATATTTCTGAAATGTATCGTGCTCATCAGTTTTGTTATGTGAGAGAAAGAAAAAAGGAAAAAAAAACAAAATCATATATGCGCAAACACTGCACTAAAACTCTATGAAAACAGAATATAATTTCTCACTCTTGTATATAGGAAACTCCGATTTACGCCAGGATTATATTCCTAGAGGAAGCGTGGATTTTTTTCTAATTCTTTCCGCTGTGTGGACACTAAGGGAACCTTTTTTTAAATAAGCCCATTACGGATTCGGCCGGGTCCACAATGGGACGGGCGGAAGGTGTGGAACGGGGTCCGACCCCGAAAAAATCGTGGGATTGCTCTCAAAGATTCGATCCCGGATTCCCTAGAACAGTAGACTGACGCCTTAACCGTCTCGGCCATCTTATTTTTGTAATTTTGCCTCGGCCATCCGGCAGTCTTAGCTTTGTATTGTACCATCCACTATTAGGTCTTTGTTGACCTTGTTCGACAGTAGTTTGGCATCTATTGTGAGAATTATTGGCACGAATTCGTTTTTAGAATTATATCGACACCATTTTTTAAATTTTTTTTTCAAAATGAATTTTTGTCATTTTTGCAAATCCTCGTAAATCGGGAGCTATCTATAGTTATTTTCTGGTTTATATTTACTGTTTAAATAATAGTAAACGTTACTAAATTGCTTTTATCACCATGAATTTTATGGAAGTAATGAAATTCTACGATCATATCAAGCGTAGATGAGAAAAATAAATAATGTGATAAATATGTAATTTTAAATTAATGTTAAAAATTGATAAATTAGCTGTAATATCAATGATATTTAGATCAATGACTCCGTAATTTGTGTGAGATGTTCGTATAATTTGGAGTAAAAAAACATATAAATTTTAACAGCATCAGTGAAATCATCAATATAATTTTAGAAGAAAGGAAATTCCATCATAATATATTTAAAATATAGAATATATATCTAAAAAAATGTCTATACGTATTTTACCATTATACGTGCCATTAAGAAAAACGAAATGGTAACAAAATTAATAATTAATTTTGGTAAAAATTATAAGAAAACTGAATTAATCAATAAATAAAGGATATTAGTTTACCTCAATCTTATTTCTTACACAAAATAGTTAAAATCATTTTTCTATTTTTATTTGGCAGCTCGAATACATTTTAGAATATAGAGGAAATTTTTTAAGTATAATTACTTTAGATGTAGGCTGTGTTATTTTGCAAGTTTCATTTTAATATACTGAATTAATTAGTTTGTTTAACGTACAAAACGAAAAAAAGAAGAGTTTAGTGTCATCCTTTGGAAGAAGATAGATGCCGTTTAATATAAACAGGAAATTTAATAAATGACTTTGTTGCTTAAATAAATTCGTAATTAAACGAGAGTTTAGAAAAACCTTAAAATAAGCGCAAAGACAGCATTAAATTTTTTATTCTACACTCAAATTTGAGACGTTAGCTTGTTTAAAATGTAGTTAAAATGATACCGTTCCGTATAGGGGCCTTTTTTATTTTTTAATTCTCTCAGCCCTGCGAGCTCTAAGAGGGCCTTTTTTCACACTCGGCACGGTTTCGGCCAGGCCCACATTGGGGACAACAAGGCCTTACATATCCTACGCATCTTAGTTCGTAGGCCGTATAAAAAAAACATCAAAAATATAAAATAATTTTTTTAGAGAAAGGTTTTCTTTAATTATATATTTTGTATTAAATTTCTTGCTTTCTGAAAACTAAAATACATTATATTACTTATCCTATCTCTTTTATTGTAACGTTTCCAAATAATAAAACAGCAATAGAAATTACACGTTTCGGTGAAACTTTCCAGACTTTCTAGAATTTAAAATTTAAAAATCTATAATAAAAATAATTTAAAAAATATTCCATCTTTTCTTTTAAAATAATGAAAATTTTGTATTTATTTATTAATTTATTTATTGATATTTATGCCCCATTTCCCAACTCCCATATAAATTAATGGAAACGTTAAAGGAACAATAGCTTTATACACAAGCAATGTGTGAAATTTTAAACATTTTTTAAATAGGCTATTTAATTAATAAATTAATATCCTTGATATTTTTATTATACAGTATATTACAATGAAAACTTTTAAAAATAACTTAGAAAATAAATCAATTGATCGATACACATTACTTACACGATCTTGATCAATCAAAATGGTATTTATTCTGGTAAAAATCAAACAAAAACCGCAAAAACTATACGATCGACCCCCCCTATAACACTGTCGCTAATTCCGTTTTATATGAATTCCATGTTGTACGAGTCACTTAGATTTTACAAATACGTAAGCCGTTCGCGGCCCGGCACATGTATTTGTAAAATCTAGGTGACTCGTACAACATGGAATTCATATAAAACGGAATTAGCAACAGTGTTTTAGGAGGGTCGACTGTAAGAAACAGTATATAGAAACGATTTATACGATCAGTAGGCGAATTTATTACAATCGGCCCAATCAAAGAGGGCCGAAGAGCCATTTAAGGCCTGGCATTTATCGGGTCCTCAAATACAATTGTTAAAAATTATTCCGTTGCATTCCTCGTATGCGAAGAAAAGAAAATTCTTTATTTTTGTCACGTTTTATTATTAGAAAATTAAATAGTTTTTTAAAACGGGGCTAAAGAAAATGGAGCTCTCTCCCTCTCCCAGAGATCCCGACAGCTACAATACAATATTTGATCGTAGGCCTATAGTCTTTAAGGAGTTTATGTATTATATAATAAGGAATCGAAAGCCTCAAAATGAAACATCTACTGCATTAAATGTATTTTATGTATAATAATTAGGAAAGTCGATCGAGGAATTTAACACCAAAATTCCTCTTATTGGAGATAAATTACCAGAATTTAATTAATCAGGTAAAATAGAAGGAAATGTAATTAATTAGCATACGAAGACGCCACACAAATTGAAAATATTTTAGAAAAAAAAAAGTTAAATAATTTTTAAAGTTTATCACCCCCGAAAAAAGATTAAAAAAAGAAAAAAAAATTCTTATTCCTTATTAAGCGCTTTAATAATAATTTTTGCCGGCAGAAAGAAAGCTTAACTTTTCAATAATTTATTTTTCCGAATTCGATCGTTAATTAGTAATTTATTAGTTAATTTACAAATCGACTTACCCGTCATTTTCAGGTCTTACCAACCGAATTTCCCTTCTTAACGTTTTATATCCTTGGTGACGTCACGTAAGACTTTTCACTTTCTCACGAAAACGCGCACCTGGCACATTGCAAAACTGCGTATCAGCTCTTTTACACAGATAAAAACTCGGTCCAGGATGTGCACGCGCCATTCAAACGATTAAAGATTCGTAAATAATTTATTAATATTCGGAAAAATCCTTCTTCTTTAACTTACACACTAGTTTTTCTATTATAGTAGTGGTTCCATCTGTCGGCCTATTATGTTATTAATTTTAATATCAAAAGTGAGAAAGCACAGAAATTAATTTTATATTATTATTATTATTATTATTATTTTATTTCAAAAAAAATAACTATTTGCTATTTAAAATTGTAGCCATTTAAATCTTAAAATAGCATTTAAAANATTTTTATATTTTTACTTTTTTCATAATTTTTACAATTATAAAAATAAACGAGGCGACGCCTGGATACGAGATATTTATCCTTTAAAATATTAGTTTAAAATTTTTAAAATATATATTTAAAGCTAAAAATTGCTGTAAAATATATAATTTTTTATATATTGAGGTGAAGATTGAAGATAAATAAACTTTTTATATTCGCGATTCGTCTCACGCGGTATTATCCCCCGTGCAAACAGACGTCTTAAATTTACTTTAAACTGCTACCATTTTGTTAAAATTTGATAGAAAATAACAAAAAATAGTTTATTTCTCTTCTTTTTATCGTATATTTATTGATACAGAGTTATATCAGCGCACATTTCTACGTTGCATATTTTTTTGACGCGGAGAACGTGACAGACAGACAAATGTTAGGATACGGTTAAAGTTAGGAATTTGTGTGTATAATGTATTTATTTTTAATTTTTACAATATTAAAAGCGTCGAAAGAAGAACAGTTTCTTTATAATAGCAGAAAAACAAGAAATTCGATTAAAATATAAAACAAATGGATGCCGATATAGACGGGCCCGATCGAAGACGTTATAATTTTTATAACACATTTGGGAGGTCTCAAAGTATTTCTGTCAGATTTTTCGTCTGGAAGAAAATTTAATAATAAAATTTGAATAAGAGTTAAAATTGTTTTTTAGATAATTAAAAAGCAGAGGTCGTTTTTTTCGGCTTAATTTAAATTAGAGCTAACCAATAAGAGTAGAGTGTGGAAATCATGTGCTTCGATCGTTAGCCCTAATTGGTTTGTGGAAAGTCCAATGAAAGCGCGAATTTTAAATTCAAAAGGAAAATTGAGAGAGGAGGAAGCGTCGGTCTGGTTAATAAAGCAGACGAAGAGACGGGGCGAGAGAGAGAGAGGAGTTTGTCAGGACGGGACGTGGGTGGCGGAGGAGCGGAGCGGAAATGGTGACGATCGGGAATAAATAAATTGGGCAGTTTGGAAGCGTCGGAGTCGGGGAATTCGGACGGACCCCGCGAGGAAGTATAGAAGAGGGTGGGACGAGGGACTATCGATCGCGGGTGAGCCTCAGTCTGGACGGGGGTGAGGTAGCGACAGCCGTACCTGTGTGACGTCATCGAGGAGGCAGACGTTGCCATTCCATGCCGGGACCCGTCTAGACGGGGGTTCGCTTGGTTCGTCGCCAGGCTGGCCAATCGCGGATGTCGAAGCGGCAAGAGTCGCGGGACTCACCGCCACCTGTTCCCCGGCGGCGGTGGCAGGACGGGTGCCATTGCCACCGTCGTCAAGAGGACCTATCGTCACCGCGTGGCGGCCTCTCGTCCCAGCCGACTCTCGGCCCGACGACAGATGTACGACAAGTTCCAAACATGGGCCCTGGAGACGTACGGAGACAGCGCCAAGACCAAAACCGTCACCAGGAGGAAGTATCTGAGGATTCTCAAGATCCTCAGGGGAGAGGAGCAGACCACCAGCGAAAACTCCAAGTTCCGATTTTGGGTCAGGGCCAAGGGATTCACCCTGGGTCCACCGGGAACCGGAACTTCGCTCGTCAAGAAGGGAGAATATCCCTTGTACGTTCCATGTAGCAGGGTGCCGGTGAGTATATCTCTGCCCTTATACACGACTGCTTTTTTCCTCCTTGTTTTTGCTCGATTTATCGATCGGATGCGGCTCGACACGTGTTCTCGACCGATTTCGAACCGGCCTTTGGGCTCGTCCGCAATTATGGATCCAGAGTGAGAAAATGGCGTGTGGAAGGAACGAGTTTCTCTCCTCAAACTTTACACCCTTTTATACGCTTTTCGCCCCTCGAATCCCTTCCCGCCCACCTCTAACCCGTTTCAAACCACTTGTACAGACGAAAAATATACCGTTCTAGCTAAACGTCTGTTTGTCTGTACGTCTACGGGCTCGAATTTCCCATTTTAAATGGTAGATAAATACGAATTAACTTAAAAAAAAATTTACCTTTTATTGCTAATTATCTTCGTACGTTATCCGCGTTAATATTAAAATTCCGTCGAGCGTATTAAACGACAGAAACGTTGCCATTTTCTAGATTCTAGCTTGGTAAAAATGGCCCGAATGTACTGTACGTGTCGTCTACGCCTCTCGCTACGTATTTGAATTTTAATAAATGAAAGCGCGATCAATGTTCCTTCATTAATTGGGATTTAAAGCCCCCCAAATCCAGTCTTTGCCTTTGTACTCCGCGTTGTGCAGTGGAGCCAAGCCTGGAAGTGTGTGTATCCAATAAAGCCGCCTTTTCCCAAAAGAGTAGGGAGGTTGTTGTTGTCGCCGACGACTTTACTCTTCCTACCTGTTGTCGATTCTACGTCTCGTTACCACACACTCGTCGCCTAGAAGAAAGTTTAGAGGAAAAATAATAATAATAACTAAAAATTTCACTCGTCTACAACGTTTTCCTGCTACAAAATCCTTTTTTTTGTCTTGTTTTTGGTGACGGGATGTCTACAATCTGTCTGTGTCACTCTCGCGGGAGAAGCGGATAATGTCGGGAGTGTCCCGCAGATAGCCACTGTCCTCTGCTATTCACGGAGCTTCTAGCACGTGACTCATTTGGCCTAAAGTAGAATTGTTGGGATGTTATCCCCTCAGCCCCAGGGACAACCCCCTGCTGGCCCTTCACTTACAGGATCGATACCGCCAGTCTATTCTCGGTGCATTCTCTCAGTTCAGCTCTCTCTCCCGGCTGAAATTTCTCCACTTCTAAACTTGCACACACAGAATAAATTGTACACTGTACACCCGGTGAATCATCTAATCCCACCCGAGTAATTTATTATTACCATTTTTAATTTGACACGTTTTCAACCCCTAAAAATAGGGCACGCACCAGAATTACCCATACACAGGATCGTTAGTTCAGGCGCGAATATTTTTTTTAACCTTAAAAATTATTTTTTAAGGTTATAACAAGTAATGTCCTTAAAAAATAGTCTAGATTCTGGTTTCGGGGGTGGGAAGTTAGTCAAAATAATTTCAAAAGGAAGAAGACGAAGGTTTATTCTGGAGATTCGGGAGGAACGTGTAGGTGCGGAATGGACAAAGTAACGGAGGAAGTGTCTGCACTTTACTCTGCGAATCGATCGTTTTGTGGGATATTCAGGCAAAAGGGGCATTTGGGTCCTATCAAAACACTCGCAGCACTAGTGTGAGACGTGGTCGGGAGTTTAATTATTTACGTGCGCACGCAACCGATGTCGGATTAAGCGCGAGACGAACAAGAACACTCCAGTTTGATCAATGTTTATTTAATCATTAATAATATTAATAGTTTATATTCCGGCAAAGGTCGAAACTCGCCCGTTAAAATTAATTTAGTTAACGGGTTTTCCGTATTAAATTATTAATTATTTTATCGATTAATTTCCATCCACACCCGCGAAAAAATAAAAATAATGGAAGAGCGGGAAGGTAGACGTTCGCAGCATTTGGCGGATTTTATTTTGAGAGCGGATTCTATGTGGGAGTTTGGACAAATAGTGATTTTTGACGTGTAGGACGGCCCATCGGCTCGAAAAGGGAACAAAGGAAGTTAGGAGGGACATCCTAACGTAACTATAAGCCAACTGTGTGCGAGGGAGAGGGTTTATTCATCGATCGTTAAAGTATGCTTCGAAAGCGTCGTCTGAGAGAAGTTGCAGAGAGCCAACTTTATTGTGTGCCACCCTTCGAAGACTTGTAAATATCGATAACAAAGCGACGCGAAAGTTTCATTTGTAACGGAAATTCCGACTCGTCTAAGAAGGACGGTCGCTTATGGCAGTTTTGTCTTTGTAGACGAATTCCGGAGAAGAGGAGACCATCTACAAGAAGGTAGCGGTGGTGGAGAATTTTTTCGACATCATCTACGACGTTCACGTAGAGTCGGACGGAAAATCGGGAAAACATGCGGGACAAAAAAGAACATACAGAGCAGTGAGAACAATATCTCTTCTTAGGAGAAAGAAAAATGCCGGAGGGAAGGAAATCTGCAGATTTAATTAAAAAAACTTTTTTTTTGTTTTTCCGGTTAGATTGCAGAAACGTACGCGTTTCTACCCAGGGAAGCGGTGACCCACTTTCTGATGTCCTGTGCCAATTGCCAAAAGCGAATGCACCTCGCGTCAGACTCGTCTCCGCCTCATCCTGGAGCAGGAAACGGGAAGATAGGTAGTCGCCATGGCAACGAGGTTAGCTGCAATCAGCGCTCAAAGGGAACATCCAGCACTCCGGGCGATTCCGAAGAGATCGACTATTCTCTGCCCATCACCACTACGTACCTGAAACACATGAAGAGTTTAACGTATGACGTCAACGGCACAATGCGTGTCGACGGAGAGGTAAGAGCAATCCGCATCTAGACTCAAATTATTTGCTTTCGAATTTTCCTTCGTATCTTATACTTTCCTATATTTCCACGCCTACGGTTTCTCGCATTTGCTAGCGTTAATCTATCGATATTTGCATGCCCTTTGCGCAAATTTCACTCGAGAAACGAGCGACGTCACTCGCAAAATGTACGAGTCGTAACGCTGATTTTTATCCTATTTTTTTTATAACAGCGACGACTTATTCGCGCCCTTTTAACCTATCGAAATCGGCAAAATGAAAAGAAATTCGTCGCCCATCTTAAAATACGCGTGTGACGAATTTTCCGTTTCCGAAGTTTTCTCTGGATCTCTCTTTTTTCGAGTTGGAGTTTCAGAATGTTGCTTTGACCTCATCTCCTCTCTCATCCGGATGTTTCCATGACGACGGAACACAGTAGGTATTTTTCGAACAGAACCAACAACTCTACTTAGAATTGGGGAAAAAATATTGCGTGAAAATAGCATTTTGAGCGGGCGTTCAAAGAGAAGATTAGTAGTTCTTTCTACTTTTTTTCTTTGTTTTTAAATATCGAAGCGCCCGACGTAATTTACTTTCGACTTATTCCGGAAAGGGTTTAGAAAAAAATCAAACTACGAATAAACATTTTTAAGTTTTATCACCTCGGTTTACACATCTAATTACGGGTGATGAATTTTTGATGTCGAACCAGCATTCTCCTTTTTAATTCTTTGGGATTACCATAGAATGCGGTTTCTCTGCTCTGATTTGAAGCAGGTGTTTCTCGACGTCTCCCTCTGATCAATAAAGTACAGATTAGGAAAATAGTTTATTTATTCTAGTTAATCTAATTCATTTTTTTCCTCGTGTTGAGCGAGAACAATTAAGAGTCTAACGAAGAAGGATCCTCCTCTTTTTACTTATTTATTTATTTTTGTAAGGAATGTTCCTCGACGGTCGACAGCGAAGTGAGCGAGAATTGTCAATACGAAGAATCCACCCAGTTTGACACCTATCGCTACGACGACGGTAAAAAATGACCTCGTTTCCTCCACTTTCTCATCGCGGATAAGGAGCCAGACGGCTCCTTTTAGTTTAAGAACATGACTTTATTTTCGAGGAACGTTTCTCTTTTCAGAAGAACAAGAAGAGTTGGGTTATTCTTCCAGTCAAGAACTGAACGATTCGAATGTGCCATTGGACATGACCAATCAAAACTCGTTAAACGAACCCATAAATATGAGCAAACAGAGCAACCAAGACGATAAAAGACTTAAGGTAACATTCCTCTTTATGAATATTGAAAAGCCGCGTGAGGTCTTTGAATATAAAAGCCGATTCACGCAAATGTCGGAGTGATGTAATGCCGAGTCGCCGATACAGAAACCTTTGCATTGTTCTCTGCAAACACGTTACTTTTCGGGCGGGCGGATGGGGGTTCTGGCAAAATTTCGCCGCCCCCAAAACTTCTAAATAATATATACATTTAATAATAAAGCAAAGCGTAGAAAATCATATAAGCTTAAGACGCAACTTCATTGTCGGCTTGACCCAAATTTCGCGCTATTGATCCGCTTACTGTGCCACTCTATCCTATAATGTTCTAGTTCTTTGACGAGATAAAATTGAAATTTATATAATTACAGACCTTAATATATAACTTAATTACATTTTATTGCTATAAATATATAAGAATCTCTTAAAAACGGTGCAAAGCGGCATAAATGATGGAATTGCCAACGTTTCGGATATTAAATTGGTGTAATTTTTACGGTATCGACGACCAAGGTTTCTTTCTTTTATCAATTTTTACTTAATGCTGTATTGGAAAGGGAACGGCGGACCCTTCAGAAGAGCTGTCGATTGCCACTAAAGAAGACGAAGAAGAAAGTGATGAGGAGGAAAGCGATAAAGTAGAAGCTCATAATAAGTACGATCCCGAACGTCTCAAGGCCTTCAATGTAAGATTCTCTATTCTTCGAAGAGCGGACAGTTTTATCGTTGTAAATTAATAATTTAATAAATTTCTTTCCGCTTATTCTAGTTATTCGTTCGGCTCTTCGTGGACGAAAATTTGGATAGAGTCGTTCCGATATCCAGACAACCTAAGGATAAAGTGCAAGCCATCATCGATTCCTGTCGCCGGCAATTCCCGGAATTTGCAGAAAGAGCTCGTAAGAGGATCCGAACTTATTTAAAATCGTGTAGAAGGACCAAAAGATGTCGGAATCAAAACGGTCTGGACGGGGTAAAACGGACAAATCAATAATAACCGCTTAAAAATTTTCATTTATTTTTCTTTATCAACCGCCATATCATTTTATATCCACAGATTCGTCCTACTCCTCCTCACTTAACTTCGGCTTTAGCCGAACAGATTTTGGCAAGTGCTTGTAAAAATGAAAGTTTGAACGCCAAAAGGATGAAACTCGGGCTGAAACCTTTAGCAGTGAGTCATTTTGTTCGCATTTAAATTAGAAAAATTATGTATTTCCAATAAATGCGTTTCCCAGCGTAAGAATATTTTAATTATAATTTGAAATTTTATACTGTTTTTTTCTAATTTAAACATTTGGCATTTTGAAATTAAATTTTATTATTAATTTATATTACACGAGTCCGCCAGCGATATCAATTATGGAAATTTGTGCAATATTTTAAATTGGTAATAGATTCAAGATGGCGCCGTAATTTTTTTTTTTCAACGAGGGGGCGCTTAAGAAGTTCGCAACGCCACCTAAAAATTTATTAATATTTTATATCTCGAACTTTTTAAATTATTTTAAAAAATAATTATAATTTATCGGCAAAACTAACTTACATTTAAAAAAATATTTAATAATATTTTCCCTTATAGAATTTCAACATTTAAAATTTCTAATTTGCCGTTCTGCTTATATTTTAAAACCGAACATACATTCGAATTTAAATGTTACATAAAACGAAGCGATGAAATAAAGTTTCGGGATATTGAAAAAATCCCCTTTTATATTAATCTCAAACGGGCACATTTTTTATTTAGACGATAGAGCGGCGACACGAAAAAGACGAAAGTTCTTTAATAACTCAATAAGAAACGTTTATTTTTTAGGTAGAAGTGAAAGGTGCGAAGGACCTGGAACACAAGTTATATAACAATAACAACAACAACAACAACTGTCGGCAAATGGCGGTATTATCATCGGAGAACAATTACTCTCTGAACACCTGCCCTTGTTCCAATGGTGAGATTTTTGCTCTTGTATTCGCGTGCCCTCAATAGGTATAAGAAATATGTATCCTTTATTGCAATTTCCGAGATTTATCACTCGTAAATGATGCGTGATGATGGTCATTTCGGTTCCGACATTTTAACCGTACGGAGACGCTATTTCAAATATCGATACGCGGCGATAAAAATATTTTCTGCTTTAAATTTCTCTGCTTATTCGTTTCTGTGCCAAATGCCACTTTTTTCCCTCTCTTTTTCTTTTCGAAAACTTAATGTAGAGAGTTTCGGTTATATAATTTAAGCGTTTCAAATATTTAAGTGTAATACGCGTCGAAGAGATAAGAGGAAAAAAATTTTCTAGAAATGTAATTATTATAGAGAAGTGATTGGTCGGCGCCATCTATTGACAAGATATGAAAACTTGCGTATTTAAATTTACGATAATTACATGGACGTCCTTAGAGGGGACAAACGGGGCACTTACCCCTCCTTGGGATCGACTAAAAACTCCCAAAATTATAATGGTAGAAGTGATTGAGATTACACCCTCGACCGTCAGAGGCTTTGTCTGTCTTAAATTTCCCCAAATTAAATAATTCAGTAAAAATTTATCGATGTAATTATTTGTCTCCACGGTTCCCCCTGGAAAATTTTCCGCGAACGCCCACGAATAATTACCATATAATTTATGTAAATTTTTCTATAGGAAATTCGGAAAATAATCTTACTGCGTCATCGGGAATTAATTCGGCTGGCTTCCTAATAAGGGCCTTGTCTCTAGTTCGCAAGATGTATCCCAGATTCCTTCGTAGAAAACTCAAAATAACCTAATTTGCTACCTGCACGGTATTAGGCTGACCGTAATTTCTTGAGGAGATCCATTTTATTATAAAACTAATGGCGTTGTATGTGCTTTGATTTATAATTAGCATTGTTTTCGTGGCTTTAATATTTAATTTCGACTTCTCTTTTGACCATAGAGAATTTACCGGTGAAAATATTCTTTCTACAGAAGCTGTATTTCTTGTAATTCCATACAAAGGATTAATTCTATCGGATCGACATCCTTTTCGTTTATTTCATTAAATATGACATACAATGCTTCTTCATTTCTTTTTCTTCAAGTGTTTGGTTGTTATACTATCTTTATTAGCGCCCGTTAATCGAGTTGCCGAATTTCATCCGTTTCCGTTCGTCTAATATGATTCTTAAACTTAGATTCTGCCATTTATAGAAAAAAAATGCAGTAGTAATTTTTAAACTTAAGAAAAAACGATACAGGATTAATGAGTACGTCACCGGTATCACTATAGGCCTATAACTAGAAATGGCCGACTAGATGCGTACCAGCGCCACAATATCGAAGAAGAGCAGACTGAATTAACATATAACTATAAAGAACAAAATGCGATATAACAAAATAAAGAAAGCATCATACGATACGGGGAGAGTGTTGCCACTTAGTTATTGTCGATCATATTAGCTTTATTTACTGCACGGTTCTTACGATTCCGACTAATCTACTATATTAATTTACTCATTTTTTGCATAGTGTTATTTAAGCTTTTCGTCTAAAATCTTGCGCTTGCCGCATCGCTAGTGTTCTAAACCGGCGCTTTAGCTTGTATACCATCACAATTAATGATTGATAGTTTTAATCATAGCAATTTACTAGGAATGTTAAGAATAGTATCCGTAACAAATATAATTTACGAACAATACAGTCTGCACATCCAAACCGTAATGAAAACGAACTAATAGCGTGCATCGTCTCTTCCATTTTAAGTAATGTTCGTCCATTTTCAGTTGTAATTAATGCAACTCTGCTCTCGACGAAGAATAGGATTCGGATCCACGCGTATGTATTATTTTTACCATTTCGTTTGACGAATGCTCAAAGTATTCAATCCCGCGAGCTCACATAATTCTATACTACTCATTTTTAAGGCCTTTGGTAGTGTAAGGGCTGTTTCACCCTATGACCGACCCGACTGATTTTATAATCGGACCGACTAGTAGTAAAGTATTCGCACTAAGTACGATTATATGTCGGTGGCCGACTCGTAAGGACCAATCAGAACGCGTGTTATAGATCAATACACTTGCCAATCATGGTAAGTTTTTAAAACGGCCATGTTTTTAAACAGAAAACATGGCCGTCACGGAAAGCGATCGTGCATTTAGATATATCGCGTCATTATTAGATTAGTCAATCACGTACCTTCAACGTTTAGTTTCTTGGAAATCTCCGTCCAAGAATTACTTTTTTTACGTTGTCTTTATAATCGGCTGGCCGAATATCATAAAGCCACGGATATGTTTTCATTTCGTTTATTAAAGCTTCCGAGAAATCTATACTTTCCGCCATTTTCTAACTTCGACATAATTGGATAAATCTAAACTCTGATTGGTTATAGTTTCGAAGCTCTCATTGGCTGTAGCTCACCGACTGCTCCGACACCACTACAAATATTTAGCCTTTCAAATCTGTCCGACTGGAACGATTAGTCGGTCGGCAGACTGTTGTTGCCATGGCAACACGACTCGGAGTCGGGCCGGTCGGTCATAGTGTGAAACAGCCCTAAGCGTTTTTCCATACGCAATTTTACCCGATAACCGTGTATATTTGACCAACGTTACGCGTAAAAATTCGACATATCGACGACACTTTACCTAATAATTCGCATTACTTAGTCCTGTTACGTTTGATCTTTTTCAAAAGCAATTGTGTACCTACCGTAACGGCCTAACAAGCCGTATTGTAATTAGACAGGTATCGAGATGCAGCGTATGTTACGCAAATATCTTGCAATAAGCCAGACACGTGGTTGACGTTTTAGTGTATAATATTCTCTTTAGTTTACTTTCTCTGTCATCGAATTTTCGAGTCATTTTGCAGTAATAGGTTGCAAGATAAGCGCAAAATATTTTTAGAGCTATAAAATTATGCGGGCACGCATAATTTGCTTAAAGTTACCCTGGACTACATAAAGCACAATACTACAACGAACAATTCGGTATTCTATTAGCAAATTTTCGTATTGAATATATTCTTAAACATCAACATCATATTATCCACACTCTTAAGGCTCTCGCCATCTTTCTTTTTTATAATTAATTTTAAAAATAATTTGCTTTTTTGCACGTAATTGAATATATTTATTGACGAAGCGGCATTCATTTATTTTATGTTTTTTGAAAGGTCCGACCGATCTAAGTGTGAAGAAGCAGACGGTCAATTGCAGCAATTACACTCTTCATCCAAACGAAGTATTCGCAGTGAAGCAACTGATCGCAGGTTACCGAGAATCTGCAGCTTTTCTATTCAGATCGGCGGACGAATTAGAACATTTGTTACAACAGCAGAACTAAATCTTCATCCAAAAAATTACAAACAACACGATTAGGTCTATTAACTAGATTTAAGGGGACCAACTCCATCGACTTAAAAGGAAATTCAAAAATTTTTATTCTCTTATTGACTTTCGGATTTGGTCTAAAATACCTAAAATTTTGAATAAACTCCTATCGGTTATAATAAAATTACTTTCTTAATGATTTTAAGTGAAAAAATAAATAATTTTTAATTAATTTATCTATATTACTATTATTATTTTCGAGCGTTTAATTAAAATGACAGTTTTAAATTCTTTCCGCATAACGAAATCTGTCTTCGGTATTGTTTGTAATCGTTCACACCAAGGGCCAATTGGGGCGCGTTTGGAAATATCCGAGCGATTATATTTTTTAATGCTATTTTTGGGCTAGAATTAATTTAAAACATAATCTGGCCTCGACCTAACGCAGTGTCGCCATCTCTTAAATACTTTAATAAGTAGGATGATCTTAATTACAATTTATTAATTTTTTTAAACCATCAATGCATTTAAAATTCTTTTAACAAGAAAAAACTAATCGAAGTATACAGGAGATCATTTTAGAGAAAGCTATTATTATAAAAATGACGATAATTTAGACATTTCTTCCATTTCTAACATTACACTTTGATGGAAACCAAATGGTTTTTTCGTTTGATCATTAAGTAGGACGTTCTCACTTTAAACGGATAAATAGAAATGCGAAATCAATGTTGTAGAAATTTCGATTTTCATTTATTATTATTATAGAATTGCACAAAATCTATAAAATTCCAGCAATCCGTATTTAAAAAAACACATCTGTATTGTAACATATGTCACTCGCATAAAGTACAGAGTACGTCCCCTTTACAGAGGTTTTTAGTAGCTTACATCACTAATGTTAGGTGGAAGATGCAACCAAAAACTGGCAAAAAAAATCACCCCTCGAGATGTGCAGGAAAATTATCACTCGACGCCCAACAGGCAGATTTCATTATGTGCATTCGTGACTTGTTTTAATTTCTCTCCGGAGCCCGTCTCGCCGGCACGAAATGAGAACTTTGGCCCGGTGCGAACTGTCTCCGCGCTTTTCTACCGTTAGAAGGAACGCGATGGAAGTTCGGAGCGGGCCGTGCTAATACATTTGGCAGTTTGTGTCGGTTGGAGGGTGTTTATTCTCTGTATGTGTAAGCTTGGAGGTATCCTGCATTATTTTAAAGATATAAAGGTAAATTAAAGGAATAGAAAAAGTGTGTATCATCAAATTCAAAAATATCTTTCTAAAATTTAAAATTAAAATATTTCATTTCTGTTTATATTGATGTGTAACCTACAATAATGCGATAAAAACAGGAGTTTTTATTTCCAGATATTAGCTTGTATGGATGTATTGTACATGAATGTTACATTGTATTCAATTTCCTTTCTCTTATATAACCAATATAAATACATTTTTAATTGTACTTCTATGTTTAAATGCGTACGCGAGTCTCTTCGCTATATTTGTTAGTGGCAGCGTGCATCTATTTATCCACGCAGACTTGTTTATAGAACGGAGTTTACGGCCGATTCTTTATTATTATAATTATTCCGACAAAGAATATCGCATTTAAAATATTTTTTTATAAATAAATTAATTAAATTAAATTAGTAACAATTTATTTTTCTTCGATAACGATTCTTGGAATGATATGTATATAATATAAATATTATACATGTTTATATAAATGATAATTCTTCTTATTGATAATGGAATTAGGAAAAAAAGTTCAATAAAATGTACATATTTTTGCTTTACTTAAAAAAGCTAACATTCGTGTTAGTGATTTTTAAATAAAATTTTAAGGAGAACAATTTTTCTGGCTCTTCTTTTCTAAGACATTTTTCATTTAATTTGAAGATCGGAACACAGTTATTTATCTCGATACAATATAGAAAAGGTTATAAAGTCCTACATTAAGTTACTTACTGCAAATAAATATATAAATTCTGAGATGAAAAATGATGTAACAAATGAAATCCTTTGTTCATATATATGACTGTAACAAATCATAAATGAACAAAGGAATGAACCCTACGCATTAAACTGGAGACAATCTTATCAAGCGCATTGAATTATCTTTGAATGGCATACAACCAAAATTTTATTGGTGCTTTCAAATGCTTTGATATAATTGTGTAATTTGTATATTATACCATAGCACGTTAGTGGATTAGTGTTTCTAGTTTGCCAGTCTGAATCTCACTTTGTGGACCGACATTTGTACTGTCAGATTTTGATAGACTGCTTGCAGAGTATTTTAAGCCCTAAAAATTATTGTTGTGTATAAAACTAATGATGTAATAAATAACATATTTAAATTTTTTAAATTCGGTCAAATGGATTTCATTTTCAGACTGTCTCATCAATTCTAATCTCAAACACATTTTTACAACAATATTTGCATCTAAGATTCAACAATCTAAGTAGTGACATGTGTGAATTGAAATTTTAATAATTTTACATGTTAAAAATTAAATTGCCATGTGAAAGGTAAGTTGACAATTGTTCTGTTAGATTATTCATCTTCAAAAAATTATTCAATTTAAATGTTTTCTAGTTATAGTTATTATTTTTATTTTAAAATAACTCGTTTATCTGGAAATCTTTATTGAGTAACATCAATAATTCTTTATATATAATGTTTTAATTTATAAAATAATAATTAAATAAATTTTTACAATAACAAAATAATAATAATAATAAAAAACTTACACCGATTTATATAAATGAAAACATTTTATTTTAACTACAGAATTATAAACAAAAGCTAGGCTAAGCAACGGCACTTTAGCCTGCGAGGATTAGATCTTCTCCCTCATTAAATATAAACAATTTAAATGAAAAGTAGACTTTATTCTAAAAATAAGAGGGATTCCGATCTCGTCCTCGATTATTTTTGTACAGGATCTACGAGTTTCCACTTACGGGAAGAACCGTGGAAGACCGTAAAGACGACGATTCGAATTATCCCCGCTTCACAAAATTTATTTATTTATCTGCATTAAATTCTGTAGTATAGAATTATATTGTTAAATGTATAAAATTGTAGAGCAAATTTATATCTAATATTTTATAATATAAACTAGAACAGACTCACCCTTTTTGTAAAGCAATAAGAGAACAAAATTTAAATACAAAAATTATGGATTGATGAAATACAGTAATTTGAATTTAATATATGTTCTATATTTTAAAGATATTAATATATATATATTTATATACAGCAAGATTTTATTCTTGCTTACATTAAACATTCAATGTAAATAATTTACATTTCTAACTGGAATATTCTATTAACAAATGTCTCTAGACATGAGCATGTTCTTGGGACGGAGACTATTTCAAATATATTCGAATATTACATTAAAACTGTGGCACACTTATTTGGCATATTAGTTATATTTTAAAATCATTTAATACTCAAAAATTTGGTAATTTATACCAAGTTAACTCGCTTGCATATTATGCCAACAAATGCAATTGATATGGACGAGGTTAAAGTTACAAACCAAGTTCCTGGTCCCTTTTAAAAACTTTTGTGGCACACAATGTCGACGCTAACGCACAAAGAAATCTTTTGGACGCCACCGTCCACTTCTCGAACGATACACTGTACCATAATTATACATATTTTCAATCGCTCGTATTATAGTTTGGGTAAAAATAGTCCATAGAAAAATTAAACGCATTATTGCTTCTTACTAAAAAAATCTTTTTCTCCCCTTTTGAGTTTTAAATAACTTCAACGAACCCGATCATTGATACTCATTTAACTGCAATGGCTAGATTTTTAATAGTAAAATGTGCCTTATAAATATCTGAAGATAATTTAAAGAATGCCGACATTTCGCCAGAAAATAACAGTACAAAAACTAGATATGCTACTAATTACAATCATAAACATCAAATTTACTAGAGATTACTTTAACATTAAATTTTTATAACAATAGATATATAGTTTATATATACTCTGTCATAAATACATAAATTTTTTATTTATGAAAACCACAACAGATGGTTGACATAAATAAAAAACAAAAAAAGTCCTCTTTTTATAGCAATATGTCATGGAAGATTGCATTTTTACTTTTTATCTACTTTTTATTGCTACTCGTGGGAGGTAAAGTGGCAGACTTCTGAGGTTGATATTTGTGTATAGAACGCATAGATGATCTGCAAAAGTAAACATTTTTACATTAACTCAATAAATTTTATATTCCATAGAATAAAAGAAGGAAAAATGAATAAATAAAATCCAATATATGTATGATTTAAAGTAAAACAATCAATAATTGCAAACGTTAAAGGTAAATATCTGAATTCAAAAATCCAAAATGCAGCGTAAGAAGAGAAAACTGTAATATAATGTAGAAGAATTGGTAATTTTATAATCGTGAAACAATAATTAAAACTAATTGTTGATATTTGTTTATTATTAACTATAAACTGCATTAACTCTGTCATGTATCATAAATTCTGAAATTTTTATATTAAAATGCAAATCTGAAAAATTTTGGGTTTCTAGAAAAATTTCTCAATTAGATTTCTATCTGTTAATTAAAATTCATTGATTTATGCCTTACATTTTTATTGTTTTGTTAATTTTCTTATAGTAATATCATTACTGCAAAGAAAGACCTTACATTCTGCAATGGAAGGTCTTACATGCCATATGGCATTGCCTTTCTTTTTTTTATATAACAAAATAAATAAAATATAACAATACAATATAATATGCAATGATGCATATTTGAATAAGTATATATATTTGTATAAATCAGAAAAGATTAATTACAAGTTTTCAATTGCATAATGGTTGCAAAATCATCTGTGAAAGTTGCTAGTATAAATTATACTTCAACGCATTCTTTATTAAAAAAAAATGTATGCATTAAAATATTATTCACTTTGTAATTTGAAATTTTACACAATAAAATTATTGTAATTTGTATTGATAAGATGTTTAATCATTAATGTAAATTCATTTTAAATACATAACAAGTAAAACGGCAAAACTGTATTTGGGACAAGACTATGTCTCGGAGACGGAATCACTTTGATGCTCAAGGCAGGTCTCGTTCTCATTCTCCTATCTTCTTTGATATTGCTGCTTTTTGGCATGATTATTCAAACTTCGCTAGCCACGACAACAAGATCATCCACGATTCATCTTTGATGAAATTAACTTATCTAATTTCAAAATTTCTCTCTGTTGCGTGTCGGCCCGGGTTGAAATTTTGTCGATGATTAACGAAAAGTTCCCGTTTTTGAAAAAAATAATCATGGCTATTGTATCGTCCAAAATTATTTTTTTTATTTTGCAGAAACAATATACAATTTAACCCAATTATAATGTCATCGAATGTAACGACGACCCTAATATAACGTCAAATTTTTATCGATTCCACGATTTTACCACACTAGATAATGTTAAAAAAAACCTACTTGTAATGACATAAAACTGTTTTAACATCATATTTGAAGCACTCCCAAATTTACAAAATTAGATTACAAATTTTATTTAACCTAGAAGAAACTACATGTTCGGTCCTAAGGTCAGAGTTCACTTCTTAGAATGACCGTGGGTGGTACTCTCCCCTACCTGACTTCGGTGGAGTGAGGTGGCAGTTTTGCCTGTTTGTAGAAGAGATTTCGTATTTTATTTTGACTTGATTCTCGGTCTCCTGACTACTTACGAGTCTGGATTTTTTATGCGCAAATGATTTGGGCACCTAATACTCTGTGCCAAATATCATCTTTCGACATGTACTCCTTCATACCTCTATGCTGGTAAGAACGGGTGGCAGTACGATTTTATAAACAAGACATAGTCTTGTCAAAAAAGAATGTATGTAATAAATTTACAGTGGTCCAAAAGTCAGTTAATCAAGATATAGTTTTAGGAATGGTTAAAACTGATCTGATTGAACTGCTTCTTTGAAAATGACTTGAATATGCAGTTTTAACCATTCTTAAAATAAATCTCTGTTAACTGACTTTTTGCTTTTCAATGACTATTAATATAATGACTATTAAACCTAAAATCTTTATATCCTCAAGTATGTAAAAGTAATTATCATGTAACTTTCCACATTATTATGCAATAAATTTATTTTTGCATAATATTGTGGAAGTTACTTAAATCCTCTTTGGGAAATACAAGATTTGATTTAAAAGACTGAGTTTAAAAGTATTATCTACTTTTTTCTAAGAATTCTAATTTGTGCATTACATTAAAAATTTCTCTACAAGCATTTATATTAATCTTCATTACATTCATCTTTCTCATTGTAAATGGCAAAATACAAGAATAAATTATAATTAACTGGTTTAAAATGTTTGAATAATTGAAAATAGGTATAATATTTGTACTATATTTATAAGATAACCAAGAATTTGGTCAAATATGTGTTTATAAATGATAAAAATGCAATTCAAGATTAAATCATACTCATCTTCAACAAAGAAGATTCAACCAACAGTGAAAAGTGCAGACTTATGGAGCCAATTAGTATCATCGATTGTCAATTAACACTAATATTTTTAAATTAATGCTTTTTGTATTATAACGGCATTCACACCCGAATTAAAATCAATTTCTTAAATATTAATGTAAATACATAAAATGCTCTACCTGGGTGATGTTCTAGCTTCAAGCTGGGCTGCATAACCACATTTTTCAATTTTCTTCCTTAGTCTCGTTACCCAGAAGTTTTGTTCTTCAATACTTCCGGCCAGTAACAATAGTTCTTTTGCAGAATTAGGATCATAATTAACTTTACATGGTGCGATAATTTCTTCTTTTTTGTCTAAATGATCTTTATGCACTTTTACTCTGCATCCTAATAAACAGAATAATATTTATTATTACTTAGATATATTTTATAAGTTTTTTTTTCTTAGAATTAAAAAGTTTTGCTACACTGCATAGAATTTTAATTTTCTTCAATAAATTTCAATTTAAAAAACCTAGAAGTCAAAATTTTTTGCAAACATTTTACAGAAAAATATAAAAGTCATCAGATCATTGGACTTCTAAATAAATTAAGTTCTAAAACATTAATTTAATAACTAAATTTAATGAAAAATCCAAAATATAAATATATAAATAAATACTTAAATTTATAATTTGAATTCAAAATCACTCTCTTTTAACTAATCAGCTATGTATAAATAATTTTTTCAGTATAAAAATCAACCAAATTGTGCATAAGTCATAAGTAAGCAAGCCACAGATATTTTATATATTCAATATATATGAAAAGTAGGCCTATTTCTATCATTTATAAGTAATTTGTTAAATATGTTTGTGGGTTGGATTGATGTGCACTGGAGTCTGGGCACCACTACTCTATCATATGAATTTTAAAATATAATAAAATTCCTACATTAACCAGTAATAACATATGTAGTGTGTAAAGAAATGATGAATGTCAATATTGACTATAATGAATTTTCTACACTTATTGATACAACAACTAGAAACAACAGATTATGTGAAAAAAATAGAATTTGCAAATAAGATTTATGAATGTTTCTTTACTGGGCTGCAATTTGAAAAAATTGTAGACCTATAAATTCCTACTGTTGTCTGTCTGTCTTTCCTTAATCTTGAGAACAACATTAGATAAATGAAAGTCAAGACCAGATATGGAAAGCTTAGGAGCAGGAGGTACCAATTAACTATATATGAACCTCTGGTTTGCACTGGAAGTCACGTTATTTCAATTAAAAAATTTTCCTCTGAAAGGAGTTAGATAGCTGACTGGAACAACTCTATTGCTAGCAAGAAAGTAAAGTATGATGTATGGGAACAAGACACTACTTATTTGGGGTGGAGAGCATATATTTTAAATTAAATAAATCAAAAATTGAAGCCCAGCATTGTGATTATGTCAATTACAATAAATAATTGCTTGTTCTATTTGGTATATTTTCAAAAATTTTAGGCTCAGAAAAATGATATAAAAAATTATTGTGTAATCAATCTCTAAATTTATATAGAAATCAATTTTATAAAGTTAATATGAATATAATAAAAGTCTAAAGATAAAAATTTCTATATACAGAAAAGGTAATATAATAAATGGACTCAAAAATTAGATGGTTAAGATTTATTACCTCTACTATAAGACTTATTTCAACGAGTTTCTAAATCATAAGTTTTAGGTCTGATAAAAAGATTTTCTACATCTTTTTATCAGACCTAAATCTACATAATAATTTCAATAATGTACAAAACTAAATAACAATAAAAACAGATCCTTGTGACCAATTGATTAATACTGTATATTTAGAATTCACTGTCATAAATGGATATACTAAATCACTTTAGAACAAAGCCAGTTGATCAATTGCTTGTTATTAGTTATTATACGTTTTTTTCTAAACCAAACTCCAAATGATATTGAAGTGTCTACATGGACCAATATAGCGATATCTTCCAATTAAATGGCACATCTTTACAAATTCAGAAACACAACAGCACTATTTCTTAATATTTTTAAAAATTCTTTCCACAGTTCTCTTTTTTTTTTTTTATAACTTTCCCTTATCTACTTTTAGAGAAATTAAATGCCTTACCTTAACATTTTCACTTTTTAAAAATACTTACTTCAAATTATTTCAATTGTACTTTTTACAGTTCAAAATCTATTCATCCACACATTCTTAAATTAAATCCCAGTTTTATGATTTTTAGATAATTACTGTGATAATAAAGTAGATGATTTGTTTTTATGTTACACTAGGTATACAAAAGAAATGTTGTTTAAAGATTGTAAATGCCACGTGCTATAGAACTTTTCCAAACATTTTATTATTTTACATGCACGTAATTTCCATAGTACTTTAACATTATCCTTATGTAATTGCTTTTGAGAATTTATACCAACTTCTTTCTATATATATTTTAGCAAGTACATATTATACACAACTTTTCATTTAGAAAACATTTTTATTAAAAAGCCAAGAAACCATTAAATTTTCAAATTTTTATTCTCAGTGTAAAGTATTTTAATTTTATTAATTACTCTCTTCATTTTTTTCCCTCAATTTTTGTTAAATTTTAGCTATTCAAAATGATTGAGAAATTTTCCTTAAACAGACAATAATTCATAAAAGTTTCTTTTGCAAGATATTAAAAAAAATGCTAATATATATGTACAGTCACACCCTGTTTACACATTTTTTGAGAGAAGTGATTGCACAAGTGAAAAAATTTACAAGTAAAACTATCTTTGAATTGCTTTCAGAGTGAATATAGTTGTCAAAAAAACATGGAATGGCACAAATTAACAGCTATATAATTGAATTTGCAAGTGTAAATCTTAATGAAAAGCTTCAATTTGCCATGTATAATACATTTGAACAACATATGAAAGGAAAAGTACACTTAGTCTGAAATTAAGTCTTGTATTTTTAAACAAGTGGTCAAATTTTGTTTGTTTCTTATTTTTTCCAATGGATTTTTAGACTAAGCAGCTCTAAGCACTTACAGTTGTATATTGTTGTTCACTTAAGTTGCAAGAAAAGACTGTGTTCTGAGTTATACCAAGAGCATGCATGGTTTCAGAGAAGGTAAAAATGATAGATTGGTCATGGCTAACCAACATGGTCTGTTGATTGATTTTGATGACACAAAGTGTGTTGTCAAAAAAGGAAATTGGTCAACATTGGTTTACAAAAGTTTGGAAAACATGACAATTTCTTGCCATCAAACACCAATCAGTGAACATCTTGGATGATATTAGTGCCAACTTATGAGTAGCAAGTAGCAACATCCATCATCTTATTCCTTTCATCTTTAATTGCCAATAAAAAACAACAGCAGCATATCTTTGATAAAATAGCCATTTTAATTTGGAAATGCTGTATGGTTGCTGGAGGGATATGTTGCTTAGTGTTTGCTCTTTCTACAAACACATCCTGTCAGACAACAAACACATTCACCAACCAGCAGTTGGTCAGTAAAATTGTGTAGTGTTTACCTCACTTTAAATTGCTTGGAACTGTCAAACCCAAACCCAAGCCACAATCTCTTCATCATTCTAGGAAACGAAAACAGCAAAACTGTCATCAGCTAATAAATTCCTCAAACTCTAGGCTATCTGCATTGTGAATCCATTCTGACAGATAAGAAGCATCTAACATGGAGCAATCATCCTTTTCAGATTCAGACATAGAAGCATCCTCCTGAAGAACTCTAGACTGTTGAAGTATTTACTGAATAGTTTTTAACTTCTCATCTAGTGAGAGAGAGAGAGAGAGAGATAGAGACTTTCACATTTTCCTTTTCTCTGGCAAATCACTCATTTTCCTCAGTAGAAAAAGAGCAAGGGACACTTCTGATAAAGTCAAACTGCATGAACAGTCATTGTAATAATTAGTGTAAACTGATTAAACCATATTTTATCACACCTCTTGCAAGGCATTACTGATATGATATGTGACATCAGTTATCACTCCTTCCTCTGAAACTCCAGTAACATGAAAGAATGAAGAGCCATTCTGAAAGCTCACACCGGCAGCAAATTGTGAAAGTGAGTGAGAAACATAGAAAGTGATTTTCTTTTGTTTAGCAAAATTGGTTTACACTAAAAGATGTAGACAGCAAAAATTTTCAATATGTTAAACTGATGAAACAAATGAGAAGTTCATTGAAAATGAATCACGTTACATATTATTTGTTAGTGATTTGCTGTCAGTGTGGACTAACCTCAAGTGAATATATGATTTGCTATTTCATTTTTTTATTCCAAGTGAAGAATTCTTAAGAAAACATGCTGTATGACATTAAAAAATATGTCATGCAAGTATAAAATTGTATAAATGAAAAACAAATAGTTTGAATGTAATATAAACTGAAACAAAATGGAAGAAACAATTTATTATCAATCCTTTTAAAAATAATTTAGAATTTATACTTTTATTTATTTTAATAGTGTGATAATTTTAATTAAAATTCAATAAATTTTATTAAATGTTATATAAACTATACATACTACGACATTCAAGAGCAGAAGGTGGCCTAAACATATGCCACAGAGGTCTCGAACACACTTCACAAGCTGTAGGCATATGAAAATTTATAGGAAAAAAGTCATGTCCTTTATGTTCAACAGTTCCTGGTTGCATTAACTATGAAAAAAATTACACACTTCAGCAAAAACTTATAATACTATTTCAAACAATTAGTTAAATAAGTCTTTATTTTAAAATTTAGTCATCTTAACATACCATTATTGATAGAGTTTTCATTTTACATCAGTATTAGTCTTACTTAAATATCTTAAAAAGTTATAAAATTCCATGCCTAAAAATAATTATTATATATCTTATATATATATATAAAATTAATTAAACACAAAANTTTAAATGTTTTCTAGTTATAGTTATTATTTTTATTTTAAAATAAAAATAAATCACAAATTACACAAATACATCAGCTGGACAATGTTATATGTATAACAGAAATTTTAAAATAGCGATATAAAATCTTTACAATTATAAACTTATTTTATTATTTTTATTTTAAAACTTTATTTATCTATATACATTTTAAATTTAAATTCTTGTTTTACATGCTTTTTTCACTTTATTATTTTTATTTTAAAATAAAATTTTTAAATTAAGCTGTGGCTGAGTAAGCCAACAAGCATATAGACAATATGAACCATTTATAAATTACATTTACAGAAATACAGTACAAAAGAAATGAATTAAACTTTCCATGATTCACAAAAATGGAAACAGATAGAACTTTTAGTTTTATAGAGAACTTTTTATATTAAACTTAGCAATATATAATATGGTTATAACTTAATCTGGTTCCTAAGAATAAAAATAAGTCTAAGACAGTGTTTCTGGTCACTCTGTATTCAATTCAGTTTGTCATTTAAATAAACTATATTGTATACTATTAAAAAATGCTTGTTCTTAACATATTAACTGACGCCTGTAATATGATATTTTGCATATTTACCGGCCACAATGAGAAAATTTGATATTTAATATTTTATTATAATGTAAATAGAAGGGTCATTATATAACAGTCAGTAGAGTGAAGATAAAAAAAATATATCAACGATGACTGGCGTTTGGCCTAGAACCGGAGACTATAAGACCACGGGCTATTTATATTACAACCCACTGTAAATACACATGCTCATCTATTAAAAGTTTTTATATCTATGTGTTAAAAGTATTTTACAATTTGTTTGGACTGCATATGTTGTTTTTTCTGTAAATATATATTATTTCGCACTTATATACTTTGATTTTTGTTCTATATTATTATTTACTGTACTTTATGTGTAATAAAAGAGAATAATTAAACTACTTCTTTTCTTTTTTTAACTATTCACTATTAAAAAAACACTATCAGATATAAAATAGTTTTTTATTAAAAAAACACTACAACTGCTGGCTGTCGAACCACTTCATAAGGCCATACGACGACCAGCGGTCGGAGCCAACTTTATAGATGTCCACGAGAGGCCATCACTAGGATGTAAAACAATGTCTTACGAAACCAGGATAATTTAACCTTGAATGAAACTACATTGGTTATAGCGACGTCTGGCAGTTGGATGGATCTGTACGGGCCTAATTAGTACGACTGCCAATACTCAAATGGCGGTTAGCATGTTAATGTAGTAAATATAGTAATACCTCGACTTACGTGATTTTCAAATCTCGTGGATTCATCTTTTGTTTGAGCGGCACACAGCTCTTGATTACTCACTCCCCCCACACTATTGTTCAGCTTACACTGGGGACAGCTTACAATGCTTTGCAATGGGGACAGCTTACATGTCGGATGTGTCGCGCAGAATCGACGCATAGTTACAATTTATTTTGTGTTATTTATTTCTGTGTTTGTTATATCTACGGAGACGCGAGAGACTCTATATGGTAATTTCTTGTAACCGTGAATGAATCAAAAGACGTGATAAGATTAACGAGAACATTTATTAGCTTATATACATCCGAATTTGGATTTTGCACAAATTGCGAAATTATACCCCGGCTTACGCAAATTCGACTTACGCGGTTATCGCTCGGTCCCACCTATCGCGTAAGTTCGGGGTATCACTGTATAAGAAACATTAATTTAATAATTATTATATTAATTACAAATATCAATATTTATTTTTTAAACAGAAAACTATTTATAACATCTTGATCATAATAATACATGAAATACATTAAATAAATCAAATAAATCAGGGATGAGCAACCTTTTTCTACACATGGGTTGCATTTAAAACTTGTAAATAGTGCAGACTGAACACAAGAGAAAAAAAAATGCAGGTAAATCACAATTCATATATGATTATAAATTAACATAAGTGTACTTGATTTGATTTCTGTCACTGATGTAAATGTAATACATCCAAAATATCTGGCTGAATATTAGTCACTGCTAGTTTTAAATTAGTTTTGACGTGAGTTTGATCACAATTTCTTGTTTTAATTTTTATTAAATTTTTACTAAGTTGTAGAAGATGATGATAGAATTTTTGTTCCACTTCCTTAAGATGGGAAATTGATATACTTATTAATATTTTGTGCAACGCGAGCTGGGCCACAGGTAGCCCAAAAATGTGGGTTGCTCACCTCTAAAATAAATCATTATTTAAAACATAAAAAGTTACGCAAGATATTAAAGTTTAACACACATGATCAATCTAACAATAATGCAATTACTTTCCTCTTAGGTTACTTTCAGACTGGTTACTTGGTTACACATACTAGCAACTCAGATGAGTCACTAAGTGGCATCATTCAATGGTCCATGTGAACAACTCTAAACCACTGGCAGCCACTTGTGGGGACCTCTCTCTCTCTCTCTCCCTGCCAAAGATGTGAGTCAATAACAACTGCATGAAAGCATGCATTCAAAATACAATGATTTTGAAGAGGAAATGACTGGACATGACCGAGTAGTTGCACCACTCAGTGGTGCAATTGAGTAGCCTGTCTGAAAGTACCCTTAATCTTTTCATTAAGTATAATCTTTATTTCATAACAGAGAAATAGAAAAAATTAAGTGAGACTTTATAGTATAATTAATATTTTATTGAAAAGATACCAATATTTCAAAAATGTGCATCACTTACTAAAAAAATAATAATATGCAAGATTTAAAATAAACAATATTCGTAACAGTGAACTTTAGATTTTAAGAAATATTTTTATAATAATAAAATATTGTGTTGACTAACCTCTTTTGAAAACTGAAGTTCTGGAGGATGGGTATTATCACTGGGTTTTCTGCTTTCACCTTCTCCAGCATATAACAACTAGAAGAAAAAAATTACTATTTATACACAAAGAATAAATACATAAAAAATACAAAATAATTTTACACTGATTATTTAGATAAGAATTAATAATTAGTATGGTAAATATGTATTTCTTTTATATTTATTAATTTTTAAATTATTAATTAGTTTAAAAATAATCATAAATGAAGTTTGTAAAACATATAGAACATTTTATATCATAGAAAAATTAATCAAGATGAGTTGAGGATAAGATTTTTTCTAAAAGAGTTTTTGCTGTAAATCTAAATTTGGTTTGCAGTTTTTACCCAATCAACATCTTACTTTTTAAAATTTAATCATAGTGCTGCTGCGACAAGTAAAGTTTTGAAAAAATTAGTTATGTATTTGCTTTTATTATAGTTTTTAGAAGGCTATAATATTGATAAATAAAGCATAAAATTCATAAATTCCAATGATTTAAATTTGATGGGGAAAAATATAAATAAGTAAGTTCATGATAATCTGTGATGTAATAAATATAAAAATATTTAGAATATCATAATTATGTGTTATGTTATCAGAAAACTAAATAATTTAAAATGATTATAACTTACAATTCAGATTTATAAAAATCTACACTATATAAAATTTATTGGATATTCCATTAAACAGTTATATTTATTTTTACAACAAAATCTGTAAAAATATATTGATTGCAGTAATGAATTACTCATTTTTATAAATAGGCTTTTAATTATTAAAATTATAATATACAAAATGTTAATTCAAAACGAAAGATGTTTTACATATTGAGATATTATACCTGAAATATCCTAGGAATATCTTTGGCATCTGCACGAATAACATCACCTTGAGTCACTGATCTAACATGAAATAATTTGCTGCAAAAAATAAAATAAATTAATAATGATAAATTGCATTATTCAAAATTAAGAAAAATTTTATACACAAAATACACAATACTATTAAAATAGTATTGTCTAAAACCAGAATTGAGTAACATTGTGTAATATCATAATCAGATTTCCTTATTTCTTTTTAACATAAAAAATTTAGCTATATAATCTAATATTTTAAATAATAATTAAGAATGATTCATAATTACAAGATTCCTTGAAGTTTTGTTTCAAAAACTCTATTTTCATTTAAGTTTATTTTCTAATTAAAAAGTTTTTCACTTTGTTTAATAATATTCTATATTATTATTGGATATATATAATATATTATTTTATCACTTTTAACAGAACTGAAAATAAAACAGTTGGCATAATCAAGAAGTTGTTGTTAATACAAATATTTCAAAACATTTGGCTTGATCTTTTACAACTTCTAAATTATAAAAAATTTTTCTATCAGAACTGCGACCTCGAATGTGCTTTCTTTTGGATTTTACATTATTACTTTTGCCAACAAGAAAGCTATAGCTCAACTTAAGAATGTGATTTATTATAACATTTCAAAAACTTGTAGAGTTGTATCAAATATTTCTTTTCATTCAATAAAAATATTTATTTTACTCAACTGTATGTTTAAATAGTAGTTTGACATTTCTCTCTCTAACTGATTGTTTTTTCATATTATTCATATGTATACAAATAGATAAATGTTAATTACTTTCTGAGCAAACTGTGCTTAAAATTATTTAATAAAGCAATGTTATATTTTGTAATTTATTGATATTAAATAAAATATAATTAAGAGCTACCATATATGTATTGTCTTAAAATATAAAAATATAATGTTTATAGTGAAGGACTGTATAAATAATTTTTGACAACTGGAATACTTTCTAACAATTATTTAGAGTAAAATTATCATTTAAATTACAAAGAAGTCATAATATTGGCTATATATATAAGTAATATATATTCTCATAGAATTAACATAGTTATTTCTCTGTAGCTTATATAAAATTTAGTAGAGATTCTTTATATTTTACATCACTTATTAATATTAAATATATTAAGTATTGAAGTATATTAAGTAGGTTGAAAATGTTAGAGAAATAAAATAATTTATACTCGGCAAAAAATTCAGATGTGTTGATATAATTACTTGTAGTTGCTGAGGAGGTGGTGGATATTAAATAGGTGTAATTTAACAAGTACATAACGTATCCAACTTTAATTTGGCCTGATAGAATAACTTTATAAGTTAAATTTTGTTACTAGAAATTTTATAGTTCTGTTCTCTGAATTAATTTTTCACAGCAAATATATAACTGAAATATAAAGAAAATTTTATATAAAAATTTGCTGTACCATTTTTATATAAAGTTTTCTTTTTTATAATAAATGAAAAAAGTTCATTAAATAAATCATCTAAATTTTAAGTGTTACAATATAATAACAAAATAATATAGTCTTGTAACTAATGTCAAAATAAATGCACAAAATAATTTTCAATAAAACATGGAAAAAATAATCAGGATTTCATTTATAAACAAATTTATAGGATGAATTTTATGGAATTAAATAAATAAACCTATGCAATTAAATAAAAATAAAACAATAAAAGTTTAAAAAACTATTCAATTGGGGTCAGAAATGTAAGAGTAAATTTAATAAATTTTCCATAGCATTGGTTCCTCCTCAAAAACAGAGTATCAAGATTACTGCATGAAAAAGGAAAATAAGTAGAGAACCTCAAAACAGCTGGAGTAGTTTACAAACTATTTTGTACTTGTGAAAATCAAACTAAATATTATATAGGAGAAACAAAGAGATTACTCAAAAAAGGAGTAAAAGTTGCTCAAGCAGCTATCAGATTAGGTATTGTAATGTCACCATACTATTTACATTTTAGTGAAGCAAACTGTAACATTAATATGGATAGTATAAAAATTTTCTGTAAAAAAAAAATGCTATTAAAAAAATTAAAGAACATTTTTCAATAATAAAATAAATAAAATATAAATAATATTTTAATCCTTTCTTGATCTTGTTTGAATGTCTTTAATCACCCCTAAAGTTGGAAAAGTCCGAGTTTTTTTCTCACCCATTACATTTTTAAAAATAAAATATTTATCTTATTATTCTTCATAAAATTATTTCTACTCAGCTTATAAAAAATGTAACTTTTTTAAACAGCAACATAATTTTAATAAACAGTTAAATTTAAAAATTTTCAAATAAAGCATTTTTTTCCCTTGTAAAAAAATTGATCATGTAGAAAAAGAATTAGTTTTCTTTTGTCAACCACATTATTTCATAATTGCATAAAATTAGATTGTATATAAAGAAATGCATCTAATTTATTGTAAAATCTTTTTAATTTTTACAAAACGGCAATCAAAATGCAGAGAAACTTATCAGTATTAATTCTCTTTTTTCAAAATACAGATAATTAGATAATATAAAATTATTTATAATTCACAAAACACAAGAACTATTATATTAATGTAGCTTTAGCTTTTTCTCCTCAAGTGTATTTATTTTCATTTCAATCTTTTTCTTCTTTTACCTGCAGCTTCTGAACATCTTTTTTCTGTTGCAGAGATGCAATATATCACTGTCTAGATCCTCTGACTTAACAACATTTTCTGGTCTATATTTATTTGATCAATACCACCTGCAAAATGGATTCCATCATAAACTAAGCATTGAGCAACTAAACTTTCTTCCTTAAGATTTTCACTCAACAGTGATTTGTTAACCGAGAAACCACTCTCAACACTTGCATTCCCATGTGAGAAAGAAAGAGAAATTTTGATAATAGACCATAGATCTTGCAGTTGCCTATCATCCTTCAAAATTTCACAATAAAATGTGTCCATACCATCATCATCACTCCTTTCAGATACGAAGTCCTCAAACTTTATAGTATAGGGTTTTATGCAGAGTNAGTAAATGTGAAAAATTGTAAAATAATATAGGCCTAATTTGTTATACATATGTATTATCTAAGATTTTATTAAACATTTTTTTCTAAATTATTGTTTTCTTTAGTCTCCAGCCCCAATTAAAAATTATTTGTATGTACCTATATTCGAAATTATACCCCGACTTACATGAATTCAACTCACGCAGTTACCGCTTGGTCCCACCTATCGCGTAAGTTCGAGGTATTACTGTATATATAAAGAGGGATAGGTGTAAGTTTATACTATAGCTTCTCTAACAAATGCATCTAATTTATTGTAAAATCTTTTTAATTTTTACAAAATGGACAATCAAAATGCATAGAAACTTTAGTATTAATTCGCTTTTTTCAAAATAGAGATAATTAGAAAATAAAAAATTAATTACAATTCACAAAACACAAGAACTATTATATTAATGTAGCTTTAGCTTTTTCTCCTCAAGTGTATTTATTTTCATTTCAATCTCTTTCTTCTCTTTCGTGATCTTTTCTTAACATTTTCTTCTGTTGTTTTAAATCCTTAAGTTGTTGTATAAGTTTTCTTTTTTCTTCATCCCTCAATGCCTATTGCTTCTGAATATCATTTTTCTGTTGCAGAGAAGCAATATATCGCTGTCTAGATCCTCTGACTGTTAACAACATTTTATGGTCTATATTTATTTGATCAATACCACCTGCAAAATGGATTCCATCATAAACTAAGCATTATGCAACTAAACTTTCTTCCTTAAGATTTTCACTCAACAGTGATTTGTTAACCGAGAAACCACACTCAACACTTGCATTCCCATGTGAGAAAGAGAAATTTTGATAATAGACCATAAATGTTGCAGTTGCCTATCATCCTTCATAATTTCACAATAAAATATGTCCATACCATCATCATCACTCCTTTCAGATATGAAGTCCTCAAATTTTGTAGTATAGGGTTTAATGGACACTTTATTGCAGAGTATATCATACTGTTCTTTTGCTTTGACAGCACATTTCTCATCAATCCTGTTTGTATCATGTAGAACCTCCAGTAAAACATTGAAATACAATTTTCCAACATTTGATTGCATTTAATAATTTCTGGGTCTAAACTGTTCAAAGCCTTCAGACATTTGTACTTGACAGGTCCCTTCTCAATAATCTTTTGTGTCATTACTTTCAGTACATTCAACAATCTCTTAGAAAACACAAAATATCTTTGCTGCTTACTTTCAATCCTTTTAAAACCTTTTTTGCTCCAAAACCAATATCCAAATTCTTCAGACGTACCAAGTTTTCATTAGCATTTAAATCTATTTTTAGAAACTGCTTGTCAGTGACCCTGACATTTTTCATAAACTTTCTCATCAGGTTCATTAATAATTGAACAACTGCTTTATAAAGATAGGGTGAGTGAAGATCTTAGTGAAGTTCTTTCCCAAATTCCATCTCGTTGGATTGGTTTCCATGTGTATCACGATTTGATATAGTGATCCAGATTCGATGGAAAGCACATCTCCACACTCAAACTAACAATATTTACAGTTTATTTACAGATTCTATATGCAGAATGTACAAGTTTGAAAACATAGTATATGCAGGATAACAAAGTGTGGTGACCCACATACTATATTGGTTTCCAGGAACTGTTAAACTTTGGAGGGGCCTCAGTCAGCTGTTCGAGTTGGCTCAACTGCACAATCAAGTCCAGTCTCTGCACTAACCCATCCCTGAGATGTTTACCAGAGGAGAACACTTTCTCTACGCTCAATGGGCTTCCCAAGTGCCTGAGACTACCGTATACTAGTCTCTTGACCTTCTCTCCTCTCTCTCTTGTTCGTTCCGCAATTTAAGGGTTTTTTGGATGGAAACTTCCGACCAATCACAAACTTTTTTTGTCTAAACAGCTTTAACCTAGGTCCACTGTTAATCTGACAAGAGTCAAACTTACAGTAATGCCTGCCACTTATTTACATTCAGTTGTTTACCATATGGCAAATGGTCTATCGTCTGATCACAGGTGGGTCCAATTGACAAAGACGGCACT